GGAACAATCAGATCTCTGATGTCAGATGGAGCTTGGCCATTTAAGGCTTTATATGTTCTGATGACGGTGAGCATCTGACATGTCTGATCTCAGTTACTCTATAAAAACAGCCGCTGCCTTTTCGCTGGAAAACCTTCATCTGTGATGGGAGCAGTTTTATGCCCAGACCGTCTGCAGGAAGCCTTCCAGTTATCAGGCTCCTCCTCCTGCCTGAAGCATCAGAGGGAATCAGAAGCAGAAGTCAGCGCCGCCTCAGACCAACATGCATTCCCCAAAAATCATTTCACAGTTAGCTGGACCCCTGGGGTTCCTGTTCCCTCGGCTAAGAGGAGCGTTCCTGAGTGGAAACCAAAAATAGCGGCTCTGATGGTCACATTACTGAAACGCAGCGAGCGGCTCGTGCTCCTCAGACGCCTCCTTCCTCTGGAACGCGAAGGAGATGACAGACTGACATGCCTGCAAAAGGAGTCGAAGGCAGACAGACTTCTTGGCCCCTAAGTGACACCCAACCCAGTAACCCCCCCCCCCCCTCAGGTTGTGCTGTGACTCTCACTGCATAACACTGCTGATGGTTGATGGAGCGTCCATCTCACCAGAAACTAAAGCGCCCCAAAGCCAGCGCTGCTAACATGTGACACCTGAAATATCTGCAGGGGGGGGGCAGCCAGGCAGGCTGACTCTGCCGTGTTCATCCAGCTCTGCCGGGGTTAACGCCCCACGGCGCCCGTTTCTAAGGTTACAGCCTGAGGCCGCTGCAGCGCCTCTCTGTTGTTTTCATCTGAGCCATTAAAGCTGCTTTATGGTTCCTGACGTCCGTTTTTCTGATCCTCTCACTATGATCTCCTCTCAGTACGACATCGTGGGCCACTCAGGCGACGGCTGCGACATCGAGCTGGTCCCAGCCGACAAAACGCCCAAGAACGACAAGCAGAGGCTGAAGGTCCTGAAGGTACAGACTCCCATCAGTCAGACGGTCAGAGGAAACCTAGATGGTTTCATCATTAGTTGGATCTCCTCGTTAACCGTCTCTCTCCGGTCCTGCAGACCATGCACGCCCACGCTCAGTTCTGCATGAGTGGCGACTACACGCTGGAGGCCACAGAGGCCAGCATCACGGAGCTGGCCAGAGAAGAGGCGGACGAGCACTTCGTGGTGGTGCTCAGCGACGCCAACCTGGAGCGCTACGGGATCAGGCCGGAGCGATTCGCCCAGGCGCTGACCTCCGACCCGCAGGTCAACGCCTTCGCCATCTTTATCGGGTCCCTTGGAGACCAGGCTGAAAGGTAAAAAGTAGCTCCTCCCCTTCCTAGCCGCAGTTTGTTCCCAACAGGATGAATTGCCCGCCGTTCCTCTCTGGGTGACGGAAACGATGTCCTGCCTTTCTTCCAGACTCCAGAGGACGCTTCCAGCCGGCAGGTCCTTCGTCGCCATGGACACCAAGCAGATCCCCCAGATTCTGCAGCAGATCTTCACGTCCACCATGCTGTCCAGCGCCTGACGGGACCCGTCTCAGATTCGCCAACAGAGAGGAGTTTGTGTGACTGAGGCCGACGGGATGACCCCGCGATGACATCACAGCTGCTGGAACGGTGTTTCTGTCCAGACGCACACCGAGGCGTCCCTCCTATTCTGGGCTGCGGCGTCTCAAAGGGAAGGCAGAGGACAAAGCCGAGCTTGTTTTAGATTTCCTCCTCGTTCG